AGGAACACACTCAGTGGCAGAGTCAGGCTGGCAGAGAATTTGGATCAGCCTTGTGTTCCAGACCTGTCCCCAGCGTGTCCTACTGTGTGTATCTGCTGTCGCCGCGTGATTCGCTCTCTCCGGAAATGCTCTTACACTGCTGCTTATTTCTCATAAAAGAATCCCATTCTTGGATGGGCGGGAACCAAGCCAGCATAAAATCATCTCAGCTTGGCTCTTCTCCAACCTAAACAGACATGTCAATTGTCTAGGGGAATGAAATGCTGGTTATTGGGCCACAGGCCAGACCCAGGATCTGCAGTGATCCAGGTAACTGTACCGGTCACCTAAGCTCGAGAATCACTGCCTCTTTCAGACCTGGGGTCTCCCAAGCCTTTCCCAAAGGGGCAGCTGCTCACCTGGCCTCCTGACACACCCAGTGCCAAGGTATAGTTCGTGATGGTTAACATTGTCCACCTGACAGGTTCTCGAGTACCCTAGAGGAGACAAGCCTCTTGGCATGTGAGAGATTTTTCTAGCTTAGAGTGAGGTGGGAAGAACCTCCCCCCACTGTGGGCAGCTCCGTTTCATGGGCTGGGGTCTTAGTATGAATAAGCAGGATAAATGAGCTGGACGCCTGCATTCATCACCCTCTGCCTGACTGCTGATGTCATGTGACCAGCCTTTCCAAGTTCCTGCTTCCGTGTCCTTCCTGCCATGTGAGACCTGTGAGTTTCCTTAAGTGGTTTTTGTCAGCATAATTCATCACAGCCGCAAGGAAAGTCACTGTGGTTCTCTTGATTCACAAAACCAATGGGTGCGCAGGGCTATCCAGCTCCTGAATCAATGGTCTGCGTGCTGAATCAAGGGCCATAGCCAGAAGTCGAGGAATCCATCCTTTAATCAGCCTTGATGTGTCTTTTATCAGCTGATAACTCTGAGCCTGCTGCTCTGGAAACTTATCAGAGAGGTCTTTGAAACTAGGTCAGGAAAAGCACGTCATAGGTCAATCACAGACTGGCTGGCCTTGGTATGTCATAGGTAAATCACACTGGCTGGACTTAGGATGTCATAGCTTGGGTTAAGTGCCCCATGTTCCAATTCAGTCTGATGTAGACAGTTAGGATGGACCATGTGATATAGAACATGACAACAGGGGGGTAAAAAGGTGGGTGCTGAAGAGTTTTCTAGTGGTTAAGAGTAATGCCTGGTTTTGTAGAGGACCAGGGCTCCATTGTTAGCACCCATATCAAGTAGCTCACAGCTGCCTGGGGTTCCATCTCCAAAGGCTCTGACCCCATGTTCTGGACTCTAAGGGCACCTGCACACACAGAGTACACACATGTGTGCATGCAAGCACGCGCGCGCACACACACACACACACACACACACACACACGCAAGCACACACACCATACTAAATCTTCAAAGAAATTACCCAGAAAACTTTGATAACACATACAATATTTATTCCCAACTATAAACTCACAACCTTCTGCTTCAATGATAACTTGGTATGCAACTTGTAGCCCATGATCTGACATGAGCTTCTTTCAAGGTTTATTATGTTTTTATTATAAAGGTGGTTGTGAGTTGCCTGGGACAGGTGCTGGGGATGGAATGCTGATTCTCTGGTAGAGTAGCAAGCACTCTGGATCCTGAGCTGTCAATCCAGTCCCATCCGTGAGCTTGCTTACAACAAGGTTTATGGCTTTTAGAACCACATTTTATCTTATTGCAGATTCTTGAAAAGAGGTTTTTTGCTGGTTGGTTGGTTAGTTGTTGTTTTGTTTTGGGGGGATTTTTTTTTGAGGGTATAATACATTGATATAAGATTTCCAGCAAACTTTGGCAACAAGAGCAAAAGCCTTAAAATGTTTCCCCTCTTCAATCAAGTAATCGTACTTGTAAGAATTTAACCCTGATGCAATCTTATATTTATACAAAGAATTATGCAGACAGATTTTATTTTTATTTCTAATAATGAAAAACATTATTTATAATAATAAAAAACATTTATAATAGTTAAATTTATAACTTATAATAATGAAAAACATAATAATAAAAACAATACAAATTTCCATTGCCACAAAATTGATTAAATTAGCAAAGTGAGATCTGTGCATTATAATATGAGCCATTAAGTTAAATTTGAAAGTATTAATAATTTTAGCTTAAGTGATAAATTCAAGGGTGTTCGCTATGATATTACGTATATCTTGCAACATGGTTGACATTTTCAACAGTGAAAAGTAAACTAAATCATTAAGGAAAAGCAGGTTACCAGACAGCCGCAGAAGTCAGGAAGTTTCCACAGAATTCCAAATGTGTGAAACAGACAAACACAGCTGATACAGCCCCACAGCCCCACATAAGTACATACATACATTTATTCTCTTGGCATGTGCTTCACATTGGGGTGCCTTAAGTCAGAATGGTCACTATAGGCTTGTATGTTTGAATACTTGGTCCCAAGTTTGGTGAAACTGCTTGGGAAGGGTTAGGAAGTGTGGCCTTGTTGGAGGAGATGTGCCCTGGGAATGGGCGTTGAGGTTTAGAAAGCCTATGCCATTCCAAATTAGCTCATTCTTTCTCCCATTCCCCGCCTTGTGCTTGTGGTCAAATGTAAGCTCCCAGCTATTGCTCCAGTGCCGTGCCTGCTGCCACAGTCCCTGCCAGGATGGCCATGGGCTCTATTACCCCTGGAACCTTGAGCCCCAAATTAAATGCTTTCCTTTAATGGTGTCTTATGACAGCAGCAGGAAATGAATGAAGACATATATATAATACATTCATTTTGTACAGTCTATTACCTATCAGTTTTTCTTTACAAGTTATTTTTAACCAGAGAGCATGTTAATAAAAAACTATTAAAGATTTTTATTTTCTTCACACTTTCAAAGATTCATTTAATAAGGTATATTTTATACACCTTAAAATCCAAGGGCTGGAGAGATGGCTCAGAGGTTAAGGGCATTACCTGCTCTTCCAAAGGTCCTGAGTTCAATTCCCGGCAACCACATGGTGGCTCACAACCATCTGTAATGAGATCTGGTACCCTCTACTGGCCTGCAGACATACACACAGACAGAATATTGTATACATAATAAATAAATAAATAAAAATTAAAAAAAATTTAAATCTAATATTATATTCTTCAAAACAGGGCTGGAGAGATGGCTCAATGATTAAGAGCACTGGCTGCTCTCCCACAGGACGTGAGTTCAATTCCCAGCACCTACATGGTGGCTTACCATGTCTATAACTCCACCCTCACACAGAGATGCATGCAAGCAAACTCCAAATGCACGTAAAATAAAAAGAAAAAAGCCAGCATGGTGGCCCCTGCCTAACTGTAATCCTAGCACTTGTCGGGTGAAGACAGGATTAGAAGTTCAAGGTCATCCTTGGGTACACAGTAAATCTGAGGCAAACCTTCCTTACACGAGACTGTCTCTAAAACTGAGGTTAAAGAAAGAGGACCAGACAGGGATGAGGCTTAACCCCTGCTTTGCTGAGTGTGTGAACCAGGGCAAGTTCCTGAGCCCCAGGCTGCGATTCCACAGTAAGGAAATCTTGTCCTGCTCTGTAGGGGCTTCATGAAGATTAATGAGAGAAATCCTGAGAAGGTTTTGACGTGGCACCCAAGGAGAAGAAGGACTCTGGTGGGGGGGTCACTTTAGTAAGGCCCGAGTCTGACTTCTACTGTGACCATGATGGCACACCTGGCATTTTATTTGTCCAGTATTAAGGAGCACATGCCAACCCCTAATGTACATTACATACAACTGATAATAGCCTTAAAATACAGGACATGAAAACATGGATGTGCAAGGAGAAACAGACACATGCACAATTATAGTTAGAGATTTTAATGCTTTTCATGATTTATAAAGAGCAAACAGTAAAGAACGTGGATTTGGGGAGCTAGAGAGATGACTCAGAGGTTAAGATCACTGACTGCTCTTCTAGAGGTCCTGAGTTCAATTCCCAGCAACCACATGGTGGCTCACAGCCATCTATAATAAGATATGGTGCCCTCTTCTGGCATACAAACATACATGGAAGGAATGTTGTATACATAATAAATAAATAAATCTTAAAAATAAAGAACGTAGATTTGAAAGACATTATCCACTAAGATGACCTAGTAGGCATAAATAAGATGCTACACTGAACAGGCAGAATATGTATTATTTCCAAGGATACATAGAACGCTTACCAAGAGAAATCATACAGTCGTTTATAAAATGTTTTAATAAATTTTAAGTGAATAGTTTTTCTGATGATAATGAGATTAAATTTTAAAAAATGTGCCTTGAAATTCTCTAAGCATTTGGAAGTTAAGACATTTCTAAGAAATGCATAGGCCAAAAAAGAAATTGTGAGAAAAGTTCGAAACTATTTGAGTGAATGATAGTGAAAATATAAAATAGAAGAATATGAGAGATTCAATGCTTAGAGTGAAATTTACATCTTCAAGTGGTTTCCTTGGAAACAAAGCTCTTCGAGCAACATCTGGACTCTTAAGAGCTACAGGGGGACTAAGCGCGAAGAAGCAGTGGGGAGGAGATAGAGCTGAGGCAGAAATCAGGGGCACATAGATAAGCAGAACTAGGAAACCAGCAGAAACAAAAATTGGTTTACTTTTAAAGTTCAATAAGATCAACTTCTAGCTGGACTAAAAAGAAAATCGGGAAATGTAGGTCACTGCTGTTAAAAAGGAAACAAGAGCTGCCATTCCAGACGAAGAGTGTTTATGACAAAATATTTGACAGCTTCCATGCAACTGAGAAAATAAAAGACCGAGATGTAGCAAGACACGGAGTTTAATATTCAGAGCTGGGGCTCTGGAGGTGGGTGACTGTGGTCTGAACCCCACCCCTTTGTCGTATAAGCTGTGTGAATTTGGGCAAACCCTTTCTGTGTACCTTGTTCCTTTAGAGTACCAGAGCGCTAGGGTTTCTGATGTAAATGAATCATTTTGCTAAGAACCCTGCCTGTGCTCCCCTCGGCACCGGCACATACACTGAAACACAGGCGCTAAAGCTGGGACGACACTGAGAAGATTAGCAAGGCCCCTGGGCAAGGACAGCACACAAACTCATGAAACAGTCCACAATTTTTGTAAAACAGATCCACATGTTCGTTTTTTGTTATTTCTTCTATCTTATTTTTTTTTTCTGAGTTGCAATTGATTCTGATGACTCAAAGGAAAATGTTGATTTTTTTTTAGGTAACGCTAGAGCTTTTCTGGGTCGGAGGTAGGCTATTAATGGATGTAGCTAAAAAGGCGACATCTACACTTCAAAAGTCTATTGGCAATGGGTTTAAGTTTGACCATGGAATGTGCCAACTTTAAAAAGAACTGCCCCAACGAAAGCCGTTCTTTTCTGCCATGACCACGCCTTAGTCTGCTCCACCTCAGTTCCTGACACAGTCACCATCCTAAGGGTGAAAGGTTGGCCTCGGAACATGCCCCAGAGTGCAGCCGCACTGGTGGCTAAGTGGTTCCTAGACCCGCAGGCGGAGCAGAATTCAGCTCATCACTGTGCCCTGCAGGCTGCTAGGATCCAGGTTTCTCATACTAAGGGCTGAAAGGCTGGACTTTTTGACCATTCAGTCCTAGGACTAGGCACATAGTTTGGTAGGAAAGCACCTGCCCCCTCCTCTTTATTTTTCCTCCTGCTCAGTGACCTTGGAGTTTGAGCCCCGCCTCACACTCCCTTAGCCTTGCTGTGCAGCCAGCTTGCTGCCATCTGCCCGCTGGTATACTATTCCAGTACTCAGCCAACAGACTGGCAATCAAGGACACCACCTGAAGGCCAGGACTGGCTTCTTCTGAAGGCCTCCGACTGCTGCCCAGTGAAGCCAGAGCTTGCTGCTTTGTTGAGACTCAGTTCTCCAACAAGCACCTCCTCTACCAGGCAGAGACATGAGCCAAGAGATGATCCACCATGACAAGGCTGAACTGGAGCATCTGCTTCCTCTGAGATGTTTTTCCCAAAGTCTAGCAGTGTTTGCTTTCCAAATGGATGCCCAGCAATCAGAGGAGGAGGAGCAGGGCAGTGGCACACAGATGCCAATATCTGGGGTTAGATGGTTTCACTGCAATTTTATTCTCTGTGTATATAGGGTCTGGAATACTTATAGCGTGGTCATTTTTAGCCATTTCATGTTTCTTTAACATGTGTGTGCATATATATGTGTGTGTGGTGTGTACATAAGCCAAATTTCAACCCTAGGTGTAGTTCCTCAGAGGTTGTTCATTATTTTTTGAGATAGGGTCTCTCATTTGTCTGGAACTTGCCGAGCAGTCTTGCTGGCCAGAGATTCAGAGATTCCCAGGGATCCACCTGTCTCTGTCTACCCAGTGCTGGGATGATAAGCATGTGCCGCCATACCTTGCTTTCCACATGTGTTCTGGGGATCAAACTCAAATCTTACATGGCAAGGGCCTTACATGCTACACTGCCTCCCACCCCTTAGATTTCACCAATGAAAACACATTTCTAAGATCAATCACTTCATTGAAGAGCCCTGGATAGCCATAAAGCCCACCTCTAATGCTTGGTTGTCCATCTGAAGACTTGGCTGACATAGGATGAGGGAAAGTATCTCTAGGACAGGGCCATTTGGGTGGGGTGCTGGCTGTCCTCCCTTTGCCTACACATGTCTGATGAACCGTCATGTATCTGGCTCAAACAAATAGACATGCAATGTTACATTATAAATACTGAAATAAAAATAAATTGTAGTCATTGCAGCATAAAGGTTTGCTAGCCTGAGCTTGGCATTAGCTGGGATCTGACCCATCTGATTTCATCCTTATGCCACAAGGAGAAAAAGCTAGCCCAGTGGTGGCTTGGCATATAAATCACAGAGGCAAATGATTCGGTTGTGATGAGAATGAACTTTCTCATCTTTGATATTGATAGAAAAAACATATTTCTCCTTAGATATAGCTTTGAGGAGAAATTATCGTAGGAACTTGTTGAACATTGGATTAGGAAGAAGAGAGACTTTGACTGACTGAATCACAGCAGGGCGGGACCTGATGGAAAGAGATTATTTATAACTCAGGAGCTGATTCTCCCCACCTGAGCTCAAGGGGACAGTGCCAATTTTATGCTTTGGTGACCCATCTTTCCGTTCACACATCAGGCCAATGTGCAGGGCCACTATATAATCTGGGACACTTATTCTGTGGTGTTCTAGTCCTGACTTCTTAGGAATAGCCTCTTGTCCATCATGCAAGCGTGGAGCATTGTCTGGAATAAAGTGGCTCATCACACTTGCTTCTATCATGGTCAATTGAAATGTCAGGAGATTCGTGTGGCAGCGGTTCTTTGACTACCATGCGGCTCAGAACGGGTGACATTTCTGTCGTAGCTGGATCTAAAGATTCCGAGTCACTGACCTAGCCTAGTCCCATGGGCTTGCATCTCCTGCTGCATGCTCTCCTGCTGCGTGCTGGCTGCTGCTGGCTGCTGCTGGCTCTGCCGCTCATCTTCCCAGTTCCGAGTCCAGTTAACAGTTCATTTTACCGACACTACAGGACAACCTTCCACAGTGAGCTATCACCGGCACTTCTCAGTTTAACCCCCTTCCTGGGTGAGTCATGATTTGGAGGGAGACAGAATACACGCTTTGTTTAGACCTCGAAGATACCACTGTTTGTGGGCTCTGGCTTTTGTGTGTGGATTGAGAGGGTGTGTGAAACAGCAATACTGCTGCCAGAGAAGGTCTGCAGAGTCCATGGAGACAGAACCTCTGGAAACTGCCGGAGAGGCAACTTTTTTTCTCCCGTCTCCAAGTTGGGAGAACATAGTGGACAAAGTCCTGTTATTCCATGTATGACGAGAGCCGATGTTATGGCCCTATGTTGTATGACCTCTGCCGTCCAGGAACTCATTCTTAGAGACTGTATACGTATTCAAATAACCTCGGCATGGAGTACGCTAAGCCTGAGGGGATGGTGTAGAGAAGGGACTTATCTGAGTCTGGAGGAAAGGGGGAGTCCCAGTAATTGAAAACAGACAGACACCTCAGGGCCTGAGAGCCTTGAAGGAGGAAGGGTTTTATGGGTGGAGATAAAGGGCCTCAACAACAGCTCTGGCAAATCCTCTGTGATTTTGAAAAGACAGGGCTATTTGTGGTTAGCACTTACCTATAGCCCTAGGCACTCTGGAGGCTGACTCAGGAGGATTAAAAGTTTGAGACCAGGCTGGGAAGCACGGTAGTGGTGAGAGTTTGCCTTGGGTCACGTGGGAAAGCGAGGAGCCGTAGCGTCAGGTCGGACAGTGGGGGGTGGGCGCGTGGAGCTTCGGGCAGCTTATACGTAGAGTTAGGAGTGGTTGCCCTCTGCGGTGGGGCACATAGCTGGGTTTCTAGAGCTCCGACAGTCCCTCAGAGCGTGTATCTTTTCAAGAGTGGTCCGGGGTGCTTTCCGGCCTCTGAGCTTCTGCCCTGGTCCTACAGAATGGAGATATCTGAGGAACAAGCTATTGTGCTTTCTGTCTCAGGCTAAGCCAGGCCCGGTCAGTTGGGCTTTGCAGTTTTACATTACTTAAAGCCCGAGGACCCTTCCAGGCTGAGGCTTTTTGCACTGCTCTCCTTTCCCTTACGGCCTGGACTGGAATCTGAGCCCAGAAGTCCCTGCTCCTGGGTTGAGAAGAGCATTGCTGAGTGTGGATCCAGAAAGGGAGCAAGGTACAGCTTCCTCTGGCAGGAAGGAAGAAAGTTCTGGAGTTCCACGCCATCCACACCATCACCAGGACGGCTCTCCCTGCGCCACCTTCTATGGGGAGACGGCAGAAACCAGGAGAGGGTCCCTAGTTCTCTTTGGAAGAAGACAGACTGCATGGCACCTGGCACCAAGGAATTTCCAAGTAACAGGCCCAGTGATGTGGGGGTGGGGCGCTGAGCCTCGGTAGCACTGATTGGTTTACATTCCAGGCTTGATTTTACCTACAAAGATCAGGACTTCTTGTTTGTTTGTTTATTCCTCGCTCCTGTGCTCTGTCCTGGGCGGCACAGCCACTGTTACTGAAAATGAACTCTTGGCCTGAGCACGGGCCTTCCGCGGTACTCTGTACAGCTAGGGGAACTGAGTCAGAACTTTCAGGAACAATGACAATGGATTCTGCTGCTCATTTTACTCATTTGATTGGCTCCTTTAAACTTCCACAAGGCTAGGGGAAACTGAAGAGCTGCCTTGGAGTTAGAAGGACCTCAGGGGGCAGAGGCCACATCTTTTCAGTTATCAGTAAAGATTCCTCTTGCCTGAAGGCAGATAAACTGGCGGCTTCTGGCTGGGGTGCTGTCTGCAGTCTGTCCAGACCTCCCTCCTCAGCTGAGCCCCTAGATCTCTCTGCAGCCCTGACTGACTTAGAACTCCTGAGCCTCCTGCCTCAGCCTCCCAAGGGCAGGGATTCCAGGTGTGTGCTACTGGGGCCAGCTGTGAACTTACAGGATTTGGAACTGTTGTGGGGTTTGGCTGGCTCCTCGCCTGGGGTGTTATCCCTGTTCTCCCTTGGCGCCTCTCCACTCCCTTTCTGGGCAGGCAGTTTTCCTCCTTGTGGCGTTTTTTGCTGTCAGTTCTCAATCCCCTTGGAGTAGCCGGGTGACTGATTCTTCCGGTGTGGCGTGGGGCTCGATTCCTTCTGCTTCCTGGCTCTGCAGATATGACTTCTGGAATGTCTTGGCTTCCTGTCAGAAACGCCAGCCCTTCCCAGCCTCTGGGTAAAGGCAGCGTTTCCGGGGGCAGTGCCCTTTGCTTTTGTAACCTTTTGATCATCTGGCTTTAAGTTCCACAGGGGACTGTACTGGCAGACGGCTCCGCCGAGTCCTGGAGCTAGAAGGTACCTTAGTAATATGCTTCCGTTGCGAACGGAGTTGACAGGGTTTTAAAGACAGCCATTTGGAGAAACTTGCGCGATTTCCCACTGTGTGTTCAAAGAGCCACATCCCAGGAACCCACGTCCATGTGCCAGCCTGCCTTTTAATGCTTTCCTCCTACCCCGGCTGCTCTCTTTAGCTCCACTCAGCCCTGCCATCTCCTGGCCGCTGCCACAGACTGACGTCTTTCCTGCCCCCTTGCTTGTGTGTGTCTGACTCCATTTCT